CCCCCCCCCCAAATCAGCTAGTAGTCAAGTTGGTACTCCAACAGAAATCTGAATTTGCTTGATGAAGGAATTACTTCTGGATATCTTTCTCCTCTTTTCCTCTTGAGAGCAATAGGCATATTTGAGGCTAATTCTAGTCCATTGGCTTAATACAGATATGTTATTTCAACGGATGTAACATTTTTTAATTAGAAATTAAAATAAGGCACATTTTTATGATCACTAGTACTAAATTTGTAGTCTGAACTCAGAGTAAAGTACACTGACAAGGCCATGCCAGTGTGCTCAATTTAATAACTTCATAAAATGTAATAAACTGCCCCTGCCCCTCTGCTTACCCCACCCCTACCAAGTGTTCCATTTCTTAGGTTACTAATGTCTGTCAGCAGTTAAGGTTTGCAATGGTTTCCAGAAGTTACTGCTTATTCTGTCTCACGTTAAGACAAATTGGGAATTACCTTTTGTGGTGTGAAGTCAGAACCCAACTCTGTAACGTATACAATTCATCATCATTTTTTTGCCCTGTTATTACAGAAGTGTTTTAATCTGCAGAAGTGTTACCTACTGAGCAGCTATCACAGTCCATTTGTGTCTTCTCAAATCTTCAGGACAATGTACTCTGTGATTTAAACTTAATTTCATGAGCTTGTTAAGAAACACAAAACCACAACAAACGGTTGGTTCCCATTGCCCAGGTTAGTCTATAAAGTGAATTCACCTCCCAAATCACAAAATTTCTGTTTATAACCTGTAACTCTTAATCCATGTGCTTGGGATCCATAAAAAAATAAAGTTACCAGCTGAGCATGAGGGTGCTCATCCTTATTCCTTTGTCGCAATGTGGGCATACCCTGTTTCGCAGTGGGAAGTGTGAAAGCCTGAGCAGTCCAGCTGGTAGGGAATCAGCTTCAGAAGCTGGGCTTTTTTGATAAGATGATGTTTTATGCCTTCCAGATTGGAGGTGTAGTTTATGCAATTCCTGTGAATTAGAAGATGGTGATGAAACTGCCAAAGATGATGGCTGCAGGAGATAGCAGTTTGAGGTGATCATGGCAGCGTAATGGCCCTTTAGCTTTTCTGGTCACCTGTCCTGCCTACAATATGCTCTGTGTGCTCCCAGAATGCATCTTGGGCCCTAGCATGAGATGTGTTGGCCAAAATATGGGCAGGAGTTGAGTACAATAGTCACAGTAGCTCAGGTTTTATTTGCTGATAAAATTTTAGATTTTTATTCTGCTTTCTAAAATATATATTTTGAAAGATATGTTAGCCCCTTTTATAGAGCAGTGCTGTATATCTTGAGGTACTGTGTGCACATGGTGTTACTTGGCTTAAGATGACATCTACAGGCGTTTTGGCATGCCTATGTGCCTGTATTACACTTCTGCATACATATCAAGATTTGTTATGCAACATACCAAAGGCTAACATGGACTTGAGTTGCTTCAATATTCGATGAATACACAAATGTAAGCTACGGTGTGCAGATACATTACCTGACAAAACCCTACAATCCCAGTTTTTCAGTGAACTTGAAGAAAGAGTGTTTTATTTTACTTAATTTACTCTTATTTCCTACAACACTTATTAAGGGGGAAAGAAACATTTAAACATGCTGTCAGGTTCTGATAAATAGGAAAATGGTTTGAAAGTACATTCTGATTTTTATTAAGATTTCTGCTGTACATAATATGGAATATTCAGCGCCTTCTCATTTCCACCAGCATCCCGTGTTCATCATCAGGTTTGATATTACTTACTGGTGTATATAATTTGACTATTTTCTGTTTTACAGATTTTATATTCCTACTGCTGTCTCCTCTATGTCGTTGTTGGCTTCTTTTTGGGTCATTGCAGAAATTTAGGAAATAAGAAAAGATAATTTTTTTTACTTAGGCAGTGAATGCAGATATAAAAGCAATGGGTTGGGTGCCTTTAGGAAAGGTTAATTCTAAGAGTGCATGCGAGAGGGGTGTAGAAATAAGTCTCATAAGTATGTCACATATTTGTACTACAATTTCTGTGAAAATACCAGCTTTCATGTTGTAGGAACAAGAAAAAAGCTTGGTATTAAAATTGAAAAGACAACAGATCTCAAGTTGCTTTTGGTTTCAATACTGCTGTGCCCCAGAACCATTTCCACAGATCTGTTGGAAAACCTCTAAAATGAAACTCTCCTTCTGAAATGTAAAATATATGTGCTGTATGTAAAATAATGTGCTATAAGGAGAAAAAAGAGATAATTTCTCTATCTAGTTCAGTAATGACAGATAATTTATTTCTCCCCCAGGGCAATACCTCTCTGGCATGATAGAGCATGTGACACTAGAAGCATTAGTAATTAGTTCATCAGTCAGCTTTTGTGTTGCTCTTGCATCAAAGGAAATAGTAAACTTTTTTTTTCTTGTAGTCTTAAAGAAGAACACCAAGAAAAGTCTTATGACTCAAGTAAAACATGTCAAGGAGTGCTAAATTGTTTTTTATTTTTGTTTTTTTAATTGCTTGTCTGGGAATTGAGAAAGTGCCTCAGGTTTCGACATTCAGATGTCGTTATAGTATTGTTCATTGTTGATGCTAATGGCCAATGTAAATGTTAATACATATTTTATATGAATACATAGTTTCCCAAATCTGACACAAAAATACATTTGCGGTACAGATGCAAGAAGCATCTTAGAAAAACATGCAGTTGAATAATTTATGCAGCAATGTAACTCAGTGTTTCACTAAATAAGATAATGAGATGGGAAGAACACTTTTAAGTAATTATTTTTAGTTAATTGTTTCTACCTATTGTTGCAGAGGAGAAAGAAGATACTGCACATTTTGTATAGAGCTTTCAGGTCTTAAACTTAATACATCCTAATTGGAGAACTTATAAGTAGTTATAAGTAGTTACTTATGATAAGTAGTTACTTATGAACTGGAAGCACATCAGTGGATATAGTCTCAGACTTCCTTTCTCCTCTAATTGACAAGGCTTCCATTAACATGTAAATTCTGCTTTGTTTTCTTGGATAGTTTTTTTTTTCAGAGCAGTTGTACTGTGTGCATTTTTTAAAATTAGTCCCTGTGGAGGATGAGGGTGACCATGTCCTGCTTCGGTCCTTTACTTTCCACTGTACTTCTTCAGTTCTGTCTATGTTGTGGGTAAAAGAGTGGTTAAGTAAAGATGAAAGATAAGCTAAATATGTCTTCCTCTCTACAGTTCTGTAAATCTGTGGCAGCTTTAGACAGCCAGAGACACCATATTTACATACACATCTCTTCTAGGCAAAGGAAATCAATGGGTGTATGCAATATACATTGAAGTGTTTCTTTCTAGAAGTTTCTCACTTCCTGGGCAACATATAGACAGAAATGCCTATGATTAGCTTGGAAGAAAGTAAGCAGTGTAAACTTCATGACCATGGGTTCCTGTAGATTGAAACGTCACTTTGCAGATTTGAAATAATATAAAAATGGACCTTGTCTTAGTATTTAAGATAGTGTGGTCAGTCTACTGGGTGTTCTGGGGATACTGAGAGCCCACTGCTGTCAGTTTCCATGGGCAGGTGTTAATTCTCAGAAGAAAGGATCCAAATGACCCATCCTGGATGGTTCCTTTATTGCCAGTTCTAGCTTCAGAACTAAGTTCAAGTTACCACTTGAACTTTTCATGTTCAGTTGAGTGAGGAATGATACTGCTCTGCTGTTTCTGGATTTTTGCCTCTCCTGTAGGACCTCTGAGTCCTACATTTAGTCCACCTTATGAGAAACACTTCCCACTTAAAACAGTTCAATTAAAAAAATAGATGTAATTAAAGACTCAGCAGAGACTCCAGTATATTCGAAGAAGGAAGCTTTTTCAGCTTTAGGAGTTTTCCATAAAAAGGCAGTGGCTATCCAATCAATTCTTCCATAGCCAGGCTGTACACAAGGTTTTTATTGTTTACGAGGAAAAAGATTTGGCAAAAGCTGAAAGATCACAGCAGAGAAGTCAAACTTTGTCTGAAATGTCATCATGTTTTCCTCTGATCCCATAGTAATTCTCTTGACATCAGGTGGTTCATATCTTCGTTTTTCTTTGTGATTTTTATTTTCTCATAGGTAATGGTGATGATAAACATTTCCTAAACAGGCTTTATGTTAACCCTAAAATGTTTTTTAAAAAGAGAGGTATAATGCCTAGCTTAAAAACTAGCTTTTGTTGTAACTTTTTGACAAGCAGTGATAACTATTCATGTTCCACCAGTTTGTAACAGATGTTTTGACCAAATGTTGGGCCTTCTATCTGTTCTTAGGTGGTTATTTCTTCTCCTGGTTACTCACCTGCGGCTCCAAGCTTTTAATATGAATCCTATGTCCATATTGTGTCTGCCATTTGAGAATTTAGGGTTGCTTCTTTTTTAAGTAAAATTTTGTATCTCCTCTTTGCAGGACCCAGCTAGGATTCTGAACATAAATAGCAGCAGCAGTAGTAACAGTTTTTCAAAGACCCAGAAGTTAACAAAAGAGCACAAAGAAAAAATTTCTAAAGACTCAAAAGAACAAAAAAGTGCCTTCAAAGAACCTTCCAGGGAACATAACAAATCTTCCAAAGAATCCTCTAAGAAACCCAAAGAAAACAAACCACTAAAAGATGAAAAAATGGTTCCCAAGATGGCCTTCAAGGAACCCAAACCCATGTCCAAGGAACCAAAATCTGAAAACACCCCCATCCTTACCATAACGTGTGGACAGCAGCAAGAAAAGAAGACTCTCACAAAAAGGCCCTCTGTGGTGGACACTGATGAATCTCCTGCAAGAAAAAGAAAAAAACCCAGCTCGGATTCATTATTTAAAAGTTTTCCCAGTGCCCCACCACTGATTCTTACTTGTTCAGCTGACAAAAAGCAGACAAAAGATAAGCCTCAACTCAAGGTGGGGAGAGTCAAAATTGAAAATGATGCACTGGAAAGGAAGACACCTACTTTGCCACCGTTTGATGATATCGTAGATCCCAGTGATTCTGACATGGAGGAAAATGTCTCCTCCAAATCTGACGTAAGTGGTGGTTTGGTTTTGCTTAATACTTTCCTCAGTGCTGTATTGAGTATTCCTAGTCTGTGGGACTGTGCACCAAATTTCTGTTCTCCCCTTTCTCTCTCTTATTGGCAGATTGTCCAAATTGAAGGATGTTAATGGCCATGTTCAAACTTACGGATGTTCTAGTTGAATTGTATTGCCTATTCAAGTCTACTCAATTACTAAATGTCAACATTGTGACAATGAGCATATGGGAGATATTGATGAACAATATTGTTTTTTGATATTCTTTAGAAATTTGTGTTTCTTTTGAGAGAAAATTAAATGGATTTAAATGCTTGTATTTCACACTCTTAATCTTTGTTTTCAGGTATTAGTTCAGTAAATCCAGGAAAAGGGTTGCTCTTCTATCACATTTATTTTTTTGCTGAAAGAGTCAGTTCTGTCAATGATGCCAATTTTGTGGAGGAGGAAGAGGAGTTCCTAGAAAGTCACTCTAATGAGGAGAATCTATTCCCAAGTAGTAGGATTACCAAAAAAAAAAAGATGTTTTAACGGGAATTTTGTTTTTCTGTTGACTTTGAGATGTTTTCAAGTGAAACAAGCGTCTGTGTTTCTCTTCATCTTGCTTCATTAAGTATCACTTTTCAAATACATCTGTGAATTAAAGTTGGACTTCAGTGTTAGTGATCAGCTAAGTGTTCAAAAGAGTGTGAGGTCTTCTCTGAGTTCATTTTGAAATCACACATGTAGGCTTTAAACTGTTTTAGTGGCTCTGGTATGAAACATACAAAATAAAGTATAGAGTGAAAGCATGCTGATTTATGGTTTTATTGAGACATAGGCATGTTAACACAGCCCACTTCAAAATTGTAAAGATTTCGCTTTTAAATTCAATTACAGGATGTTTTAGTTAATGAAAACTCCACCTGTTTGCTTCCTGTGTGGGACAGTGCAGCAACATGATAAAAAAAAAGAACTTGACCTTGATTTTGCTGCCAGGCTGAAATATGGTGATATTCTTGTAATATTTGTGTGAGCTGCAAGCTGTTGTCTGAGATGGAGAAATACAGAATTTTGGATCTGAGTTAAGGCATTTTCTGTGGTTGGAGCTACCCCTTTTGAGCTGGGAGCCATTTCAGAAGTGGTGCTCAGATACTTCTTGTTTGATTACTTCGGGTTTTGCTTGACTGGGTAGGAAGGATAAAGTGTTACACGGCTCTTGGTGAAGTTGATGCAGCAGAAGGGCACAAAGGAGATAAAGCAGGCATTCAGGTATTAAATATTCTCCCTGTATCTTCAGCTGTAGAGAACTGAATAACAGCTCTAAGTCTGCCATGCATGACAGTGGTTTGGTGGATTTTTTTAGGGAGTCCATGTGTTTCTGGCAAATTGTTTTCTTCTGGTGTGATTATTTTGCTTGTGGTATGTATTGTTTTTTTCCCTTCCTGCCTGTATATGTCACTGCATTAGAAATGGTAGCAGTCTTTTGGCATGTCGAAGCCTATGGAATACAATCTGAGCAGAAATTCATGCTAGCAAAATGTGGCAGCTCAGGAGTAAGGAGTTTCAGTTTTTAAGAGCAGAGTGCGTCTTTTGCCTTTAGGAAGAAAACCTTCTCAGGAAGGCCTTTATGGAACAATGAAAATATAGTAGAGATCACACAGACTATGCCTTTGTACTTAATTAACTGCTTGCACGTCCTAAAGCAGCCTTAGAGTATGAGTACCTTTTTAAAGTAGTCCATAAAATGCCACTTTCATTCTGACATGTGATGTAGTAGTTTGATGATTTGCAGAAATGGAAGAACATTTTGAAAACCTCTATAGTTTTGTAAAACCTCCAGGCCCTTGTTAGCTGAAAAAGCCTATTCTCTGACAGGGATTGGAGCTCAAGTCAGAACTTTTTCAGGTAATATTTAAGGTCAGAAGGAACTGTCAACTCCATGTGCTGGTTTCACGTAGTTACCAAAGGTAAAAAAAAGAGGAGAAGATAGGTTTTATTTTATTTGTGAAACTGTGATTCTCAAGATGATTAATGCTGCAGAACAGCATTAATACTGCGTTTCACTGCAGACTGGGCCTTGTGGGTTTGCAGTTATCATATTATTACATTCTTTACTTTTTGTGTGATAATTAAATGAAATCTTTCTGCTTCTAGTCCAGGAAATAACACCGCTCTTAAAACCATGCCAGCCATTCATGTGGTATTGTTGGATGTAGTACCAACTATAGCTGAGGAGGTAATTCAGTAGTCACAAACAGGTAAATACTGTACAGTCTGAGGTGTTTCCTTCCAGATATATGCTAAGAGAGAAATAGTGGCCAAAGATAATCTATAGAGAAGTGGCAGTAAGCACAAGTATGCTCTGTGGCCATCAGCACCTACTGTAGTATGGCAGTATTCAGCTGCTATACTTTGCCTATTTTAATTAAGTGTTACTATGAAACAGTGCTCTGTCTTCACTCACAAAAGCTTAGGTGCATGTTAGGCTGTTCTGCATATGGTGAAATTAGTGTTGCTGGATGAGGAAGCAGTATGACAGTCATCTGGGCAGCAAGCTCAAGTGTTAAATTTCTGGCTTACAGAAATGTTAAAAGTTTAGAAGTAAAGCAGTGGAGACAAACTATATAGATACGATTAAACGTTCCGGTTGCAAAAGTAATCTTGCAAGAGCCATGAAATTTTGTATTCTTGAGGCAAAGTCTGTTTGGATTTTTTTTTTAGTTTTAGGCAAATTTTGACCACAGAATTAACATTAATCATTTTTAAGCTACTAATACAGGCTGCAGTATTTTACTTCATTTGCAAGTGCTGGCTACATCTGCTTCATTGTGACTACTCATGTGAATTAACTCAAATATTTGCATAAGTGCAGGTTTGAATTGGAGCCATATTTTCTGTATTTCAGCACTGGAAATCCTGTTCACCTGCTACCCTGCAGAAAGTAAGGGTTTTAATTGTGTATGTGCAGTGCCAGTACTGTAATTGTTTTGGGGGGTTTAGTGTCATAAAAAGACTTTGTCTCATGTACGGTAAAGTCATGACAATTTTGAGAGGCCAAGGTGGATTGCAGTCAAAGTAATAAAATATTAAAGACAGGACATTTTATTTTAATCATAATGAAGTGAGATCTTCTTGATAAGGATTTTATTGCTTTGAAGTTGCTTCATCTATCTACTTTACATAAATGATGTTGTGATCCAGAAGGATGGCTGCACATATTTAAAATAAAATCTGATACTTGATAGTTTTCAGCTGGCATTTTATCTACAATAATTAGATCTATTCGAGGCTTTTATGCTCTTTTATTTTTTTATTTGGAAGCAGTACATTTACACTTCTTTTAGGGGAGGCAAAAATGTCATGGTTTAGTCATGTATTTTTGAAAGTTTGCTGCCAAATTCCCCATGAACTTCATTAGATAATTTTGATAATACTTCCCATTCAGAGGCTTGTACTCTGGTCATGACAGAGATGTCCTCTCCAGGACACACCGTAAGTACACAATTTATTTTTTAATTTTTGGAAGACTCAATAATCCCCTGAGGTTTAAATTTTACTATCACAGGATAAAGACTGCTTGAGTTCACTGCTGCTGTGAGTGTGTATTCTACCTCATTCCTGTGCAGAAGGAACCACTGTGCATTGCCTGCTGATGAGGGAGGCACTGCTGTTCACCTCTCTGTGCTGTGGAGCCCTGGGTTTGTGCTCCATTTGGCACTGTGGAGGAATGCTGGAGGGCCCTCTTGGAATGGGCAAGGGATGCTTCTGATGGACATGGTTTGCCTGCCCCAGACTCAAGGTTGATGGTACCTGTGTGTCTGTTCTCTCAGTACTGAAGTGTGCATGTGAACCTGGTACAGGAAATAAAGCAGATGTAATGAAGCAATTTTCTTTCATGGCCTCTGTATGGCAGCTGCCTTTCCTTCTCAACAACGTAATCTACTCCTCTGCCAGGCAACCATTGCTGTTTATGAGCAGTGTCATACCTGAAACCAAATTTAATTTGAGTTATTTTGGGTATTCATTGAAGGTGGTTTGAGATCACCACACTAGCAATAGAAAAACTGCTACATAGCTTAAGAATGTTGGTGTGAATTTGTGTTAACTCTTTGAATCATTCATTATTCAGTAGTACCATTTTGGCTTAGTCAATACTGCAGTACTTTGCATACCTACATTCCTGGTAGAAAAAGATGTCACTAAATTATTTACTTCATGCTTTTTCCTACCCAAAAACCCAAAACCAAACCCAAAGAACCCAAAACCCCAAAAGCCTTTGAGTAAAACATCCAGCTCTATTGGTACTAAAACCTAACATTTTCTGTTGAAGGCCTCTAAACTTTGAGTCTTTCATCTTCCCTTGAAAGTACAAGTCTTTATCTTGTACCAACAGATTTGTGTGCTTTGTGTTTCCTCTGGCACTGGGTATTTTAATGGGGTTTCTACTGCCCCTCTCTCAGCAACAATATCTCAAGCCATTCATTCCTGTTGGGGCTGAAAACAAGTAGATGCATGATCAGATTTATTTGGTGGTCAGATTTATTTGTTTTAACATTATGCTGCTGTGGAGGAGCAAAGAAATTTGGTAATTAATGCTGTCTGCCCTAATGAAAGCAGTCTTGGCAAATGTGTAGCACAGTAGGATGGAGCTGCCTGAGTCCAGAATGTGGATGTAGGGTTTTTTAACTATCTTGAGACCTGTTACCTGTTCTTACTGTGGATATCTGAACATGGAAGGATTTCTTCCTGCATACTTAGCGTGTTGCAAGCCATCTGGAAGAGGTGAGGAAATGATGCCCTGTGTTGTAGGAATTCATGTTTCATACGGCAGAGTTAGAAGGTAAGGATAAATGGAGCTATTTGCACTTCTCAGAATCTGTTTACATATCCAGGGAACTTGTATCATCATCTCAGAGGGACATGAAAGGAGCCTTTAAAGGTGACTGATTGTAAGTACCCCATCAGCAGCAGAGCTGTTTTGTTGCCGAGGTTAACAGGCAGCTCCACCTGTG